AAGAGCAGAGATGAAGCTGCTCTGAGAGTGCGTTGTCAATGTTTAGCGTGCAGCAGACCGATTCTGAGAGACGGTGTGCAGGTTTAAACAATTCACATTCACATTCTTGAATAGGTACAAAACTTTAATATTTAATTGAAACAGGGTTTCCGCGGGTCATTAAAAATCATTAAAAGATCATTAGAAGATTGGCATTAAAATTCATTTAATGTGACTATTTTGGCATTTACATTTTTTTTATTTAAAAAAATGTTGAAAAAACAATTTCTTAAATGATATATATATTTGCAAATATGCAAATATATCGCAATATATTTGTGCTGAACTGCTTCCGGCTGATCGTCAAGCCGTATGTTCGGAAAAGACGCTCAAGGTGCAGAAAAATCTGTAGAATGGGGAAAATGCTAATTTCAACAAAAGTGGCTGGAAATTGAGGAATTGCAGCCTGCCGACAGTAAAGATGAAGAAGGAATTTGCTGTGTATATATGAGTCATGGGTACTTGTTGCATTAAAATTATTTTTAAGAGCATTAAAAGAGCATTAAAAAGCATTAAATTAGAGTTACTCATTCCTGTTTAAACCCTGTGAAAGTCATATGTAATGTGATCTATTAAATGAATAATTTATAAATAGATTGGTTGCATTTCCTGCATGTTCCTTTATTTCTGATAGAGAACCTGGAGCATTTATCGTGCTTTTATCGTTATCCAGGTAAAACTGCCTAGTTTATCGTTTTTTTGAGATATCGCCCAACCATACTTTATAGTCGGTAGTGATGTTCTGTTTGAAATGATCACATTGATGGGAGCAGGGACTTCTTATTTGTTAGCATCCTTTTACTCAACATCTAAGCAAAATTATCTTCAGCTAGGACAGTGAAATCCCAGTATGGTTGCTGGCTTCTGAAGGTGATATTTTGGGTCAAACAGTAGAAACGTAGACACAGCTCTGTCTTCCAGAGGAGGAATGATAGATGATCCAAAAACCCAAGTTGGCTTTGGATTGGATGTAGATATCTACAATTAAGCTTGTGACCAACTGAAAGTACTTAAATATCCTTAAAATCAAACTATGTCTTGGTCAGACGGAAGTACCACTGAAAGCAGTTGTCACTCAGACGCAGCACCTGGAGGAGGTGTTGGTACTCTCCAAACTGTTTCCATTTCTGGAGAATCTGGTGAACCTTTGGACGTTGACGCCAGCAGCTTTGTTCAGCTTTTCAAAGTAGATTTAACACTGCGACTCTCTTTATAAAACCAGGTGTGCCATATTAAGGTGGAACCAGCAAGCAGCAGATTCAATGGAGGTTTTCGTTAGCAATGCTTATTGTTGCCGTTATGTCAGGCTAGATAGGGTTCTACTAATTTGTTGCAGGAATTGGATTTGCTTTGAATGCAACATAAGAGCAGTCAAATATGCTGACAGAAATATGCAAGCAGTTTACTTATGTCTATGATAAGAATATTTAACATTATTTTTAACAGTTGGGTCCTACATTGACGGTAATGAGTATTTTGACATCACAATCAAACTTAACATCACATTCTTAGCTCTATTTGACTTGAAAAACGTATGCTACAAATAATCCATGAAAGATTAAACATGTTCATGTCCTTTTAAAGAAAATGCTCCTCTATTTATTCTTATCCATATCCAGCTTTACTTAAGTGTCTTCTGTTCATGTTATAAATTTACTTGAATAATGAAATGGAAGCTGCTCTCTGTCTTCAAAGGTACAAGAATTTTGGCTTCCCAAACCCAAAATTATTAATGCATCGATAAAGGATATTAATTTTCCATACATAGATATTTTGTGACTTCCTTGATCTAACCCTAATCCTCCTACTAATGAGGAGTTGCGAGCCATCAGAGTGTAACTCACCCCAGAAGAACCTCTCTGTCCAACAGGCCTCTTTGACAGAGCTGTTAGGTGCAGCTTGCAGACCAATTTATCAAATGTTAGTCTGCTGGATAAGATGGCCAAATCACTTTGCTCTCCTGCAGAAATTAAATTAAAATAGCAGACAATGACTGTGGGCTCCACACCCTCCAGTTATTGGCTCTCACTTTACTGGTGGCTGATTAGATTCTCAGGCAGAGCCACCATGCTCCAGTTTTCTTTGCCTCAGGTGGCCCCAAATCTCAGAGCTCTGAGCTGATCCTGTACCTACCTTTCTCTCCCCACCTACATGGTTGCATGAGCAGAGATACAGAAAGAGAGTAAGTAAATCACATTGTGCTGTAGGGCTGTTTTTATTGTGTGCTGAATACCTGGTTACTGTTGGCCTGAGTCCTTATCATTCCAAATTCCAATCCTTCCAAGCAGTAAGTGGAGGAAACGGTCTCCCACTAACTAGTGACTTGATACTAAATGATATAAAAATATCCCTGCAACATGTAATTGGGCAGCCCTATTCCCAAAGAATCATAAATTCCATATAAAGTAATTTTCTTTTACTCTATGCAACTCTTCAAATGGCACATTCACCCAATCACACCCACAATGAACATACACCATACATAGGACATAATGATGGGTATCCGGAATAGTGCCTTGCCCATGTGCTCAATGCTGTGTGGCAGAAATGGGGCTGGGATCAAGCCTTCAACTTACTGATGGTCAGGCATCTTCTCTTCCCCTTTATCCGTTATAGGGAAAAAACAAAAGAAACAGACTGAAGCCTGGTTCATATGCCCAGATTTTAAAATTGTTGGGTGGTTTTAAAAGCTTAAGGGACCCCACAGATGATGATTAACCTCTCCAAACCCACCGGGTACTTATTTCCTCAGTTGTTAGACCATGATATTTGGTATGTTTCTTTACATCGTCTTCTTCCCTACAAGACAAAAGTGTCCGCATCTTTGTATGAAGTGATTTGAGTCAGGGACAGTCACTTAAGTCTCACAAACGCTGCTTGCCTGTCAGCCAATGACGCACCGAGTAGAGCGATATAACGCCTCATAGTGTCCTACTGTTATTGGTTAAGATCACGTGGGCTGTATGGCTTTGTAGCCAATGAAGTAAGGTTTCAAAAAAGACTAGACATGGCTGGGTTATATGAAGCGGAGCGTTGTTACCGGCTTGCGTAGGAGTGAAAGACTGGATCAATGCGCGCAGCTCAAAGCTGAATAATAACAACGATACAAATTTTTTGAAGTTTGGATGCTGATTTAGTTTTATTACAATGCCTAAGGCTGAAAAAAAACAAACCAAAATACAGCTCAGATAAGGCACTGGTGCTTATTTTAGCTTGAAAAGCAGCAGTTTCACAATTTTTTATAGATCTATTTGTTAATGTAGATTTATAATTGTAACATTTTGTTATATACACTGATTCTGAAAAAAAAAGTGGAAAATACTTGCTTCATAAAAGTTTTGTGGCCATTAAAATGCTTCATTATTATTCTATATGTCAAATAGTTAAGTAAAAGACACAACTTGGCACTTTGGAGAGATTTGGAGATGCTGGTGACACCAGTAAAAACACCAAATACTAGTATATAAAACCAAATATTTTTACCACTAAGTTTTGACATTGGATCACAGCACTCACACGTTTCCTTATAACAAAATAAAAACCAGGATAATGGTTTAATCATTTGGATTTTCCAGATTTTCGATCGAAGCGTTCTTGACATCCAATCATTTGTAAAAGATCACAAAGGTTTAACTCCCCAATATCTGGAAAGGAATGTTTCGGGCAGAAGGTAAGAAGACTGAATTAGAGTCAATAAACAGCCTTCTAGCGAAAAACACTGATAGACTTGCGTGGTAGCCAATTTTCAATTTTTAAATTTTATGAAAAAATGTGTTAAAGTGAAATTCTCCTTCAGCTTTAGACTTAGTCAATATGGGAGGTTTAGAAATCAGCAAACATTATCTGCACCAACACAAAAACTCATAGCTATTCCTAAAGCCCAATTGTAAAGCTGTTATGTACCTAACTACAAGAGAAGTGAGAAATTTGTTCTCACTCCCACAGCTGGGCCAGCAAAATTATGTAATTTTGTCCTTATAGTCTATCTTAAGAGTTGTCTCTTCTTGCTCCCATCACATAATCTTGAACATAAAAAAAAAATCCCTCAGGGTTTCTGAGAACGAGTGTGTTTGGTCAGG